GCACCTCGGAATGATTGTGTTAAGCTAGCACTAAGTCCCTTCCCCGTCCACCTTTATTCTTATCTTTACAATAAGGCTTCCAAATAAGTCATGGCTGTACGGCAGTGAAGCATTGGTGTTGAGCGCTGATGTCATGCTGTCGTTGATGATGATGATGATGATGAATTGTCCAGCCATGCATCCGAAATGTGTGTCCCCCATCTTTTTAGAAGAGCGTATTTGCGGTTCTGACTTTCGTTAATGCCTCATATGTAACACATCAAAACTAGGTTCAATGGCTATACCTGGGGTGTCCTATCTAGGCGGAACTGTTATTCTTCCTGACACGAAACCATTTCTTCGGTGTCAGTTGATTAATTAAACAGGCTGCCGATGCTTCAACGATTCTCGTACTTTTTCGGTTGCTGTCTACGTGGGTAGTTAGCCTCTGCTCGCACTGGGCTTACAGATAGGTACTACGTGATATCTAGGATTCGTTTGATGTCACATCTGCCCTCTTCCTATGTGGCTCCAACATAATCGTGCACAGTGGATTTTCGAACAGCTCAAATAAATGTTCAGCGGTTGAGTTTGTCGGAGATCACTTGTGCCATTCTCATCCTCTTGGTGGGTTAAAACGGACAGTACATGCGAATGAGGAAATTCAGGTCGAACGAAGGCCTTCGCGTATTGGTTCGTCGAGCTAGGCACGGCGTGCGGCTGATGCCTCCGCAGTTCAGTTGTCGTTCCGTGTTGGTAATTTGTTCACTGTGGGTTTTCTTATCTAAAAACAGACTGTTGACCAGCATTGTCGATTCTTTCCGATTGACTCTCTGACTCGCTATCCGTTCCCCTCGTTGCTACCCCAGGCGGGGCCTAACCATGTAGACACTACCCTCGTCTGCCCATCGGGTACTCACCAACCCAAGCACGAGTGGGGCTCAGTGATTAGCAGGTTGACCAGTGTAGTCTAATTTTGAGCTGCGTGCAATTTCCGTATGTGTGCACTGAACGTACGGATAGCCAAATGCCTGAACATATTGGGACTTGACAATGCGCTCAAGGAACACGTGGGGATGCACGCGTTCAGGCTGTAACCCCCCGGAGGACCTCAATTCAACTTGTAAGCACGTTAGTTCTGATTCGGAGATGTTTTAATAACCTTACCGACGCACTTTCTGTGCCCTATCGGGACAAATTATTAATGATACCGCGACACGGTTTTATGATTTGAAGTCATCTTATCTTGAAATATTTGTAAATCTATACATATTGTTACCAAATTCATAATTCCGCGTTACCACTGTGTATGTAAGCGTTCAAGCTTTCAGTAACTCTCGATTGTGTTAACACAGATGTTTCATTTCATGTTTGATGTACATTGTTTATTCGGGCTCAGGATCTCTGGAGCTTTATTGAACATAGGAATGCTGTGTTCAATTCCGTTCATTTTATCAGCTATAAACCGTGTATCCAGCTGCTACGACTACCGGGAAGTGGGAGAGTGTGGAACATACGGCCAAACCTTGGAGGTGATAGCATGTTCAGTTACTTTGTTGAGAAAAAACCTTCATTGATTTACCTCATTGGTTCATATTCATTTACGTTGTGAACTCCTTTTCGCTTCTGCCCACCCCACCTATTGCAACGGTTTTCTCACTCACTAATGCAGTTCGATGACATTTGGACGATACACGCATGGTGAAATGACATGAAGGTGCTTGTCAGTAGTGTGAAGATTTTGAAATCAGTCTGTGCTGAAAATCCGAGGAACGAAGTGCAGCTTTCCCAATTTCCCTAATGATCAGCTGTACATACCACATGAATCTCCTGGGGAATCTGAATCTGCGATATCCGGTGCGAGATGGCTCAGTGGTTAAGGCACGAATTCGCTGGCCAGAAAGTTCCTGGTTCGAACCCGACCTCCGTACCTCGACTGCTCCTTTCTAGAATTGGGCAACTTGGCAGTATCTCGGCCCTCGTGCTTCCTTCGGGTGACATGGCAGCTAGACACCAAAAGAGCGTTACGGCTGAGCTAAATTTGGGCTAGCATATGAACTCTATACCGTTCATCCAAATGATGTTGGCCAGCAGTGTGATTAACTTACACTCTGAGCCACTATCAGTTAGTCAACCGCTTGATTTAGACTTAAAGGCCTATCATGTCCCACCACGTTTTCTTAAACAAGTACAATCCGACTAAGTGAACATCAGTCATGGCTGTTGGCATGGATAGTGCAACGTGGCAAAAGCTGATCGCATGGTAGTGCTGCATGTGGACGGTGCATCTTATACTGTTTTAGTCACAGGTTTAGCAACCTCGTAGGTTACAAAGTCATGAAATGGTATTGTGATGTTTTGTAGAATCGAAGTGTCGTTACTGTCGACGACAAGACTACTATGCTGCCAAAACAGTCGTTGCCTAATATCTGAGAGGGACTACATTCGTTTCGTCCTTGTTAGTGGTGAATGTGGTGATCATCAGTGGTGAAAATCCCACCAATCTACAACGCGGTTAACTGCTCCTTGGAAAAGATGGGCTAGTTCAACCATTGCCATAGACTTCAGGCGCCTGCGAGCAGTGTGGAAATTTCAAGATTGAAACAGTGTATTGAATTACGTTTTATAATCCGGACGTTTCGGTTGCCATGGGTAATCTTTTTTCAGGGATTTTTACAATCAGTTGGACACGGGCCAAGTACATCATTCTTTGGGGCCATTTTTTGGTTCCTGAAATCGGATTACAGTCCATTGCGGCCAACATGTATTCGCGTGTACTTTGGCTAGGACGTGCCCCCCCTTCGCTGCTATGTGTGGCCATTTCAAGCCAGGTAGATTGGATACTCGCCCCAGTTGACGCAGTTCGTTTGTATCAATCTCATAATTCAGCACACTTCCGCTCATTATATGGCTCGAATCCTCGCTGGGGTATGTGTGTGCATCGAATTCGACTTGCTGAATGGACTCGGGTGCATGGAGTGCCATGGCTGAATCACGTTCAAGTTTTATACTCAAGTGGGTTTTGTGGAGGGGAGCGTGCATGACGCCTGTGGTCGTGATTCGCATGTGGAGTTACCTGACTATCTGACCTACGTATTTGGCTGCACATTTTGTGCGGGAAATTTGGTGGGCACCGCTTGTGTAGTGTTTCGTTTAGATATGAACCTTAGCTCTTACAAATGTGTTATCAATTCGGGAGAACGCTTCATTATTGTGATCACGAAGTAGCTTCCGGGTGGCATCGGAAATGCCATCTTTATAGGGTATTCTCAGCAATCAGCAGCGCGTTTATCTTTACCTGTCTCACCGTTCCATGGAGCGTCCTCACCGTTCGTTGGGTAAAGAAGCCTGTGGGGTATTTATTGTGCTTTTGTAGCGTACTGAGTCATTTCGGTTCATGTGCTCGTATGGACTGATCTGAGCATACTTTTTTGACACGATCCACCAAAACTCTGACAACTGTGCATTTGACGTGGTAATGGTTCTCAATGCAGGAACTTGTCCGAATGCCTGGGTTTCCTGTGAATTCCCACCGAGAATTGATAGTTGGTGTTAACGGATAAACTGCGATCCATTAAACTTATAGTTCTGTACTTGCTCTCAGTTTCTAAGGTAAACTCTATACTACTGTAGAAGCTGGAGCCAACGTACCCTTGTGGATGATAAATTGACCGATTCGAGTGATGCGCTTTATGGTACTCAGGTTATTCAGTAAGATCCAAGCCGAGCTTGGCCCGTGACTAGAGCATTTTGCCATATTGTCTAATGACCTTCTAAGTTCGTCGGACGATATTCTCCGATTGAATTGATAGTTACTTTATTCTGTTTGCACTTTCTTCCTGTCTCTTGTTCTGTCCTTCGCAGAAAACACAAAAATCTCATTCTTCTGAAAGTTTCAGAAGCAGGCGAGAAGCATGCCATTGGTGGCATATCCTTTCGAATGTTCCCGTCTCAAGGCTTCACTGAGATTGTTTTTTGTGCAGTGATTTTCAACGAACAGGTCAAAGTAGGTTATCGTTCCTGTGCATCCGCGTTGTTTTCTGCTTACCTGACGGAAGCGTACACCCACGTACAGACGCCACAGTGAGCTAGTCGTTTATGAGTAGACGGGCGCCGAATAGGATTATTAGTTTGGCATCTCCAGCGGACTGTAATTAAACTTTCAGTTGCTGTACAGAACTGAATGAACACTAAGTGGAACCCTCATACTTATTGCCTTATCTTTTGCGAAACGAAGCCTCACACAACACGGACTGTATAAAAATGGTTACATTCATTGAAATAAAATAAAATCTTTCAGGTATTTTAGTGCTACGAGTAATCGTGCTACAAGGCGGGCTAGGGGTAAAGTCATACTGTCCTCTGCGGCAGGAGTGTGAAGGTAGTAAGGTGTTTCCCCCAGGCGACCAGCATGTCCATATTTATGGAAGCAGCGATGCTGCCTTCCCCCGAGGAAGCACGGGTTAGAAAAGCTTGGCCCCAAAAACCGCACACTCCGGTCGCCCAACGGTTGACCGTGATTGCTGACGCATTATCCAATACGGTCGAAATACTTTTAAAACCAAAGAGCCTGGTGCCGCTCAAAAGGCACCTGCTGTGCGCAGCCGCATCAGGTATGAGACAGTAATGCCTTATTCCCTGTGCTCTCGGATTAGGCCAACGCTCTGCAGCCAAGCAGGTCAGACCATAGAGTCATCGGCCCCAAAGAAGACCCTACTGTCCGCTGCCTCGTGGGTCAGACGTTTGAGACAGAGGCTATGGGCAGGGTCCCCGAATAACATCCTACATCTTCCAACTGCTTTGTGAGTTAGACTTCTGAGTCAAAGGCTCAAGGTGGGGTACCTCAACCGAACCCCCTTCCTCGGCCTGGGCAACCGGGAAGTATCATTTGCCCGCGCAGTTCAGTGTTCACCGATGTCCCTCCCCAACCCCTTCCCACTGCACCACCTTTCGAAATCCACGGGATCCTTTCTATATAGGAGCTTTTAACGTCCGTACTCTATGTCAAATTGGCAAACAGGCTATGCTTGCTGAAACCTTGTACTCCCTTAAAATTGATGTATTCTGTCTCCGAAACGCGTATACAATACCTGAGCGTGGTTATGCACCTCAGAACGTTAAGGATAATCTCAGCCCTTTCACATTCCACCCTCGGTGTGTCCGGTAACCCAGGAGCGATGACTCGTGGAATATATGGCGTGGGAGTCGCACTCAGCCCCAGAGCTGAACGCGCTTTGCTGGATTGGATCCCAGTGAACAGTCGTCTCTGCGCCGTCCGGTTATCCAGTTCAATCAAGCTCAATGCCTCGAGGCATAAAAAGCCAGGCAAAAAGACATTGTGATCCTCGCTGGCGATTTGAATGCTCAAGTAGGTCGTCTGAGCTCCTTGGAATCACATTTGGGTGGTCGATTCGATTCGGATGCTCGCTGCACAGTTGTGTGCTGATCACGAACTGTTTCTGGCAAGTACGAACTTTCAACATAAACGTTCGCACCGCGTAACCTGGCGGCCGCCAACTACAAATCAACCGTGGACCCAGTTGGACCACGTGGCCATCAGATGGTGCGCGCACGCCTGACAAGTTCGTTTCCTTCAGGCCCTCGCAAGTCGGCAAGGAGCATGCCAATCCCCTATCTTCGAAGAACTGCCATAGCTCAACAGCATCGATCTTGGCTAGCCCAACAACTCTCCACGGTAGAACAA